TACTTGTAGTTAAGCAAATTTATGGATTCTGTTAAGGTACATTTTGTCTTTACTTAAAATTTGTTTTGGAGATGCATGAGAGATTCATTTACCTCTTTTTTTTCTTACTGGAAAGCAGTAAAGCCCACTAACAGTCATTCATCAGAAATATTAATTGTCCTCCGTGACAAACGCCTGCTGTTGACACAATATCCACGCACACTTCCTAAGCAGAGATTTTGCATCTGGACAGTGTTCAGACACATCCCTTCCTCACACAACATCTTCCTTTTGTCAAAGGTACAATTGTACATAATGAATTGCTCTGCTTTTAGGACTAAGTGTAGATCTCCTATGAAATCTGAGCATATCAGTGCTATCTGGACACTGAAACAAGTCATAAAGGAAACATCTGTTGATTCTCAAACAAACCAAAAATCCTAAAACCACTATATTGACTGAAGGAACTGCAGACCAGCCACTTATGCTGAATACCATCTTATTTTCTCTGGATATATTACGGTGCAAACCTTTGGCTGAAAAAATATTTCAACCGAATGCTAAAAGCTTTGGCTTTAATTTCCTTAGTAGAAAATCTTCATTGCCGATGCAAAACACATTGCCGCATGTTTTTACCATACAACTGTGTGACAAACCAAGCTAACTGCCTTTCAGTTGCACAGCCTAAACAAGAATCTAAACATGATTTTATCCATAAAATTTATGTAGTACTCTGAAATTATCTGGAACATGCGAGACAGACACACAATAATGAATCAAAGTAGGAAAAAAAAAATCACATAATTTGTTGCAGCTTGTTCATTGGTGAACAGCAACAACAGTTATATATCCCAAAGTAATACTCATGTACTTATCCCTCTCATCTTTATGAAGCACTTAAAAGATGAAAAATCCTCTAAGTGCAGTGCACTTACTGTAATGAAAGTAAATACAGACACACAGACATAAGATGGCCCATTGCTGATTTCCTCTACCATGGTGAAACGCAAATCATTACTGACTTGTCATCAATATATCTCTATTTTTTATTCAACCACGATAACCAGGATTTAACGCTTTCAAAACCACCAACATAAAGGTGACTGGTTGAAAAAGGAAATACTGATGATGTTAGAGGTGCAATTTATAGAGTACAGCTAGATGGGAATACAATAACATATTTGCTTCATACTTTTACAGAACTGGGCATTGAGAAGTACTGAACATGCTGACATGCTAATAGCAAGATACATGCACACTCTGAAAAAAAGAAGCAGTCTGCTTTTGAGAACAGTCCTCTGAGCAGAATGCACCTAACATGCTCTGTGCATGCCCTGGTGTGGCATCCTGTCTTGACTCAGACAATATCTGGAATCACTGCCAATGCACAGAACTGGATACTATAATAGTGCAGAAGATGCACCATGAAGAAGAGTTATGATGGCACGTATCCAAGTGAAAAAGTATTTCTGCTCATGCAATGTGCTACCAAAACATCAAATACCACATCTTTGACTGGGTCCTGAATAGAAACAAATATGAAAGTAAAAATCTTCATGGATAACATGCTTCTGCTAGGAATTGTGTCACTTCTCATGCAAGCTTTAAAAAAAAAGAAAAAAAAAAAAGTAAATAAGAATTTCTCATCCTTCTCTCCAAATAATTGATTGCTGTCAGAACTCTAATCTAATATTAGGTGAGCTCATCTTTTTTTCTGCCTTGGAGCCATTTTAACTTAATATTGCTCTCCTTCCAGAACCATGAGAGAATACAGACACCCTTAGCCACTACAGATGCTGCACTGATATTTTACTTCATCTGCTTGCTATAAAAGTCATCAATATCGCTCTGCTCCTGAAAAGACCTTTTCTAAGAAAAATGAAAACAAATTGCTGGCATTAGATCAAACTTCGATCTCTGCAGCCCTAAATGGGAAAACCAAAATCCAAAGTCCCAAATGGTGCTTTGAAACCTTCCAAAAGGCCCTTCAAGAAGGCAAACTTTATATTTAATAAAGCATTTTTCCAGGCTGATACTGCCATGTGAGCAGTCAATAAGCCCAGGCAGCCAGCCTGGCTCTGGGAGAGCCTACCTGCACTGCAGCCATGAGCAACGTGAGCTCTTCATAGAAATCATGCCTAAAATTAGCCTTTTGCTTGCCTCTTTCCCAGCTGTTCCCCCTTCCCATAGTCAATACCCTCTACCTGTGCTCTGTCACATCTCCCTTTTGCCATCCCTAGTTACCTCCAGCACAAGCACGACCTGCTCCCCGCTATTCTGGAGCAGAGTAGGGAAACGGTGGTCTGAAATACTCAGTCCACAGTTGCTATTTCCAACCAATACACATTTCTAGGAAGGTTTAGAAGTGTTTTTCTTTTTTATGTTTTCCTCGCCTGGTTTCTGAAGGATACATTTGTGTGATTACCATGTCAGTCTTCCTCAAATAACCCCCAAAGTAACTTTGCTCAGTGTCTACTTTCTATCAGGTTTGACAGATGGAAACTGAGAGGACATGATTCTTCTGAAGGCTCATAACAGACAGTGGCTTGAAGGAGAAACATGCCACAAAGGCACAGCAGAAGCTACCAATCATCTGCAGTATGCAGGTGTCCATCCTTGGACACCCAATCACTGAAATTTCAGTCATCACTTCATATTCTTTCAGTGATCAACTATGACCATGAATGTTACCTCCTAAACATTTAACTGACCTAAAAGTGCTCCTGACACTCTCCATTTCCTGCTTCAGAAGCAACTTTTGACATTACAAAGTTGGTAACACAATCTGTATTGGCTAAGCTAAAACTATTTCTGCAGATTCTCAGTAACTTCCCAGATTCCAGTCAAAATTTCAAGTTGAAGAGATTTACAAAACTAAACAAAACACCAGAAACATAGGATGGAATTCACTTTGCTGTAGGCTGTAGTTCCTTTTCTTTGGATGCACGGCGCAGTACTGAGCCCCAACAGCAGCCACATCCTGATGGCACAAGGGGGATAACATCTCCATCCTGGTGCACATCCAAGGTGACCCAGCTCAGGAGCCTATCTTCATGAATTGATCCCTGCATCGTATCACAAGGAAAAGATCTGTAGGAACCTTCAGGCTGCTTCCTGTAATGCCTGTCATATGCTCAGACAAGAATTATCTAGAAGGATGTATCTGAGCACAAAGGATGAAGCAGTTTGAGGAATTTGTTCCCAGTCAAGTCTCAAGATTTGAGAATAGCTAAATGCTTGCAGTTGCCACAGCAGGGAGTCTAAACCGTAGTCAAAATGTTTTCATTTTGAAACGAGATAAGAATAATGTTTCCAAGTGAGCAGGCAGCTGAAAGAGTGAATAGCAGGAAAAGATTGATGCGCCAGAGATTTTACAGTCTCCTTGACTCACGTTTTCCAAACATCCACAGAAAATGATGCAGTAAACAGAAACAAAATTTGTATTTGCATCTCTGCACTGTCTGCACTCAAATGTAATGGCTACTGTGCTAAAATGTATCTTTAAAATTATGACAACCTCAAGATCAAAGAGCTGAATTGTCTCCAGAACATCACTTAAGCATTTCAGACCATCTTCTTTGCTTCATTTACTATAAGCCCCACTATCCTACAGATGCAGCATTAAACTGATAAATATGCTTTCATAATAACACAGCAAAGCCAGATGTCTTTTAAGTTGATTTGTATTTGGGTTCAAAGATCCACTACATTGAGATAATAAATATGGTGCCAGATCGCCAGGCATGAGAAGCTACAAAAGACAGATGACCTTTGTGCAATATCTCACCTCCTTCTTTCTCAGGAATGTAGAAACAGAAAGTTAGGAAAGCAGACACTGACAGCCACCACAAAACCATCCAAAACAACATCATTTTTATTAAAGCATAGAACAGCTTTAAAAAACAAACAAAAGAAAAGAGTAATCAGTTGCTTAGTTGTAGCTGTGTTTGCTGTGTCTTTGTTTCCTTAAGCGCCTGAGAGAACAAGAACAAAATTGCCAGCAGTCACATTACAAAGACAGGGTGACAAGCTGGATGACCCTGTACGTCTTGTTCACATCTTGTGTCTGGGTTCTTGACTTGCATCTTAAAAGGCTTTCCTATCAATGCCTTTGCAGGAACCTGCTATGCCATTCAGAGGAGTTTCTGTCAAACCCAGACAGAAAGATGAATGCTTTCCCTTACCCGGCAGGTCTGTAATTGCAAGCCCTACCAGGAAACAGCACCACCTCCTTGGGGTTACTGTTAAGAGATATGATGTGAATGGAGGTTTGCACTAAAGAAACAGACAACTGATGACTTAAACAAAAACCTCCAAAGCCAGAAGAGCTGTTCATTCGTTTGAAACGCAAGGACTCTTCCACAGGCATAACCCTGCCCTCCCCAGCATGCACCTACCCATGTCTGCCTATGTCTCTCTTACTCTGGTGTCATCAGGAGTGGCATGACACAGCAGGAAAAGAGACCGGTTCACTGTGAGACCTGCTACTCACTCTCTTACAGTGTAACGGCCCCCCTTCCAGCTGGACATTCCTGTAGAACTGCTCCCTCTGGCCCCAACCTCAAGGACCACCTCACTGCTTCCCAGGCCCAGGTACAGCAGAAGGCGGTAGGGCACAAGCAAGATGAACACAGCACCAACCCAGTCTGCACTGTTACAAATCTTTGGCATGGGGCTGAAACATGTCAATTTACAAACGTTTTGCTGAGTTTGCATGATGAAGAGTAAAACCGTGCCTTGAAGATGTACTGTGATTGCTCATGTTTTCTCTGTGCCCCTGTCATGCAGAGCACCAAGGACATGGCACTGCATACAGGACAGCAGTGGTGGAGAATGCAATCTCCATTCTTCCATTGCTCGGTATCTCCAAGCACAGTTTCTCGATTTTCAACATATTTCCAAAGAAAACAGCAACCAACTTTCTCCACTATTTTTCAGTTCACAATTAAAACACAACCAATACATTTCATAAGCAAAAGGCACTGTGAGTAGATGGAGAAATGACTAACAGACGTAAATACCTGCTTGCTGTGCAGTCTGTGGGATTTGTTGACTCCGCTGTGCATTGTACTGAACTGAGGCAATGGGTCTGTACTGCTGAGTTGTTGAGGTAGGGTACTGACCAGATGGGTAATAATACACTGGCATCTGCAGGAAGAGAGAAATAGAGACAACAGAACCTAACTATGTACTCTGAAACTCTTTAGTGTTTTACATTTACAAAACAAAACAAAAAAAAAGGAAGGAGAGCATGAGTTAAAGTAAATAGTAAATAGGTCAGCAATAACTGCAATCAAGAGGAGAGATTTGCATCACATCTCTTCAAGCACTGCTGGTTGCTTTCAGCTCTGCTAGGAAAAGGGCTGCCTCACAGTTTGCTCTCCGTGCTTTAAGAAATAGATGGAAAAAAGTGGCAGTGAGAAGAGACAAAAACACATGAGGCATATGCAGAAAACTACACACAAACTAAAGAAATTGCTGTAAAATATCAAATGCTGCAGAAAAATGAATGCAAGTGACACCATTCATATTAACATAATACACAGAGACAGCATATTAAACCACAAAGTGAATGCTGGGGGACATGGTCAGTTTGAGGCAAAACTGGAGTAAAAAATATATAGGAGAGATAGCGGGAAAGATAGAATGCATATTGCTGTGATACTTGTACAAAACTATTATTAAATTCCTACTTTTATTAGCTACATCCTTACGTCAACACTTCCCTTTTAAGCTTCTCTCATACTTGGTGTGCAAAAACAGTCATAGTAGTTTTCTTGGGGGAGCTAAGGGTAGGCACTGATCCAGCAAGTTCTGCTAAGGGGGCTTCTCTTTTCTGTTATTACTACAGAACAACATGTACTACATCACCTCATCATGTAGCTGAACATGAAGGCTGAGGGTGACTGGAGCTAAACATTTTTCCTGTACAAGCTATATCGCCATTACTGAGACATGAGCTAAACAGTTTTCAACTGACCCCTGGCAAGTTCAAAGCACTCAAAATTTTTCATTTTCAGCTGCAGTTGATTCTGCAGGTACCAAAGTTCAAGAGCTTATGGTACCAAACCGCAGAGGGAAGCAGGCTTCAGTGATGCTTCCCTCACAACTTTCACCACATCTTTCAGCATTTCTTAATAAATCACGCAGTATTTATCCTACTCAGACACTTCCACATAATCACAGAAAATGCTTTTGTTTTTTTTCATGCAAATCTTAGAACTACATCTGCCACTTTTATTTCCATGGAGGGAATGGCTGTGGAGGAGTTGAACAATTAATTATCCATAAAATTGGAAATTCTAATTGTTCACGTTGGACAACCTAATTATCCATTAAATAAATATTAGTGAAGTAAAGGTAAGTGCATAATTTTGTATACAGAAGGACACCTGAAAGGTGAGGATACGGATGGCTAATTGGGCAAGCAAACACTAATCAGCAACTATTGTGGAAAAAGTATTGGGATAAACAGTACTGACTAGATGATGTTGGTAAAGTGAAACCCACAGACAGACTGATAATTAATATCACCTATCAATCGAGAAGATGAATTCCCATTTGTTTTTCAAGAATTGCTATTTTTTCTCTTAAACCAATGGAAATCACGTAGCTTTTTTGCTTTTGTTTTTCTCCTGTAGATGTTATCAGCTAGATTCAAACACATACGAAGAAGACACAAATGCTTTGACTGAAAAATGCTCTAAGCTATCCTCCTTCCAGACCACACCAGGTGACAACTAATGGCTACAGCTGTTGAGTCATTTGTTTTCTTGGAGAGTAAAGTAACAAAAGCAAAACTTGTGAAATGGGCAAAAAGTACAATTAATTTGTTTCTCTGCAAATAAAAGCCATAGGGTATCAGGAAAGTAGAGCCAGACATCAGGGTACCTCAAAACAGCATGAGTAAAGGATCAGGCCATTTTATCACACTAAACTCATCATGTGGAAACTGGATAGCTCTCAGCAAGACACAGAAATAGCAGAGTTAAACAAGGTGAGAGGACTCAAGCTTAGTGAAGTCCCTGAAAATAGTTGATCCTGCCTTGAAACAGAGGAACAGATCTCAATTTTTAAAAAACTATTATTTTTATTACACTACGCTACAAATTAAAGGATATTAAATCTCTCTGGAAATACTCCCCTTGTCCTGACTGCAGCTTTTAAAGGATTTAAATTTATTTGATTTACTTTAAGCTTCCTAATTTTCCTTCTGCAGACATACCTCTAGATATTTGAAAACACGAGTGTGTATGAAATGTCTCTCATGGAAAGAGACTGTAGATAAGAGCTTTAAAATGAAGCCTAAACAGTGTAAGTTTTCAAGTGAGCTTTATAGTCGAACACGTACAAAACCTGTACTTACACTGAAACCCTGGGTGTATTTGGAATTATTATTTTTTAATCACACATTAACCTTTCAGAATTAGTGAAAGAGTTTTCTCTCATCTTCTCAGTTCACCGGGATCTAAAACATTTGTTATATACTCCATTTAGAAGCTTTTCAGAGTGTAATCTATCACCCTGAAAAACGTTAGTGGTAGGAGTACTGGGTAAAAAATCATTTAATTTATAAAGATTGATGGATGAATTTGCTAGTAATCACACACTAACTGAAAAGAAGAGATCAGGCATTAAAAAAACGGCTTGGTGTAAAATGTAAACATGAATATAATAAGTCTTCAGTGACTGAGGGGTCTGGAAGGATCCATTTTCATTTATCTTGAGTACATCAATACCTCAGTAGTTGAGACAAGTTATTTGTTCTTTAGTGAACAGTGAAATTAGAGGAAGTAAATACTGCTTACAATGTCTACTCAGACCCTCCTGAATTTTTCAGTTTTTCATTACATCAGCATTACTAACATCTTGCTCATGTTCTCTCCAAATGAACACGTTACATTTCTGTTGAAGCCTACTGAAAAGTCGACTTATTTTTGAATTACTTTCCCATGTGAATACACAGTCTAAACTGGGACCTTTAGCAAGCATAATGTATTTTAGCAAATATAGCATATGTCATTTACAGAACTGAAAAGTTTTGACTACACTAACAAGTAGATCAACTCAGCTATATCATTATCCTAAAAAAGCTCACACATCTGAGACCATAATCCAAGAAGATGCTGTCTTTTCTCGCCTGTAGACTTTACTCCATTGTCTTAATTGTTGACATAGTAAAAAAAAATCCCCTCTGTAATAATTACCCTTGAAATATTTGACAAGTGATCATTTCCATTGGAGACATTCTTATTCTGAATGTGAATCCCCTCTTTGGATGCTGACCATTAATACATGTCTGTGTTTACTCTTTTTTATTTAACTTAATCTGCAACAGGAGTGGGCACATTGCTTCCAAGGCACCCATGGCCATGAACTGCCATCATCTTTTCTCCTTTCATTATGCTATGTCTCTACATGATGGGCAGTGACTCAACACAGCACTGGCTTTCTGCTTTGTTCCATCCACATACAGTTCAAAAGCTCTTTGTTAGCCTAGGTCTCTCAGACTATTCTCTAACAGCTTCCTTTAAATTATTAGGTACATTGTTTATTCTCTTGTAGTAGGAATACAATTCCACACTTCCTTTGGACAGATTTTCACTTTCCTATCTTATCTCCCTGCTGACTCACAGCTTGATTCTGCCAGCTCATAGGCACTGCTGATGTTCAACTAGGTTTGAATTAACACCTTCACCTAGATGATTAGTGATGCTGACACTATTGCTAAAATGGCAGCTACGATTACCTAAAACTGGAGAAAAGACAACAGAAACCACAATAATGTCTTGAAGCATGGAAGAACATTTCTTTCCAGTATAGTTACTGACTGGGCTGCATCTTTCGTTAAGCATTTCTCTCTTCCCTCCATCCTCCATAACAACTGCAAGAATAGTAACAAAAAATAATGGCCTGTGTGCAACACTTGCAGGCACTTCCACCAATACGATTTTATCAGGTCATTAAGACCCACCCACACGTACGAATTCTGCCTTCAAACAGACTCCCAACCTTTTTTCATGTCTCTCACTGGAGCCATGCTATGAATAAAGATTTTGCCTCATGGTAGTACAGAGTCTCTAGGAGGTGGGAATCTAAAAAGAGCCAGCTCAAATTAATGATGACAAAATTCATTCAGGTGAAAAATCCTTCAACCTGTATCATTTCTCCCAGCCTTTCCAAGAATTTGTACAATCTCACTTTTGCATATCACTTTGCCAGTACAACTTCCCCAAAGAGCTAGAGGTGGAAGTAACTTCAATGAGTGTATGCCTTGTCATTATCACAGTATTTACAGTTTTCCCCATCTCTTCATTTGCAGAGGCAGAAACAAGAAGAAGCAAATGTTGAGCAATGACAAGTACCAATGACAGATCGCTTCCAAGTAATGCGGGCCCTTAATGGCAGCTTTGGGCCCTTAAGTGCTACAGAAGAATCATCAGACAGAGAAGAAAATTGAGAAAGTGAAGATGATTGCTATTTGTGATACAGAAAGCAAATAGGAATCTGTTGCTAAAAGTCTCTTTCAGCAAACACAGACTAAAGGTTTTTTTTGCCAGCTGGCTGAACAAAGACAGATTGCTATTTTCAGGTTATTAAATCATGACTTGGTTGTTAAACTGAAGAACAGCTGTAAGGAAAGATGCAGCATAAGATGTATAAAGGGTCCTCTCATCACTTCTTAGGCAAGCTCTTTGGAACTCCAGTCTGCTTCTGTTTTGATACAGAATCTCAGAGTGCTGTTGTATAGCCATATTTTCTTGAACTTTGATACAAAAACTAATAAAAAAAACCCAGTACCTTTGGGCCTGTAGATTTGGAGAGCTTTCCTTGCTTCTCCTTTCAGCCTACAATGCTCATACTCACAGTACTTCTACCCAAATTTTTGTTGCTCCCATTTTGCGACAGCACAGAGGGCCCCACAGCCAATCTATTAGAACCTTATAAGCAATGCATTTATGGGAACTAATCAGCCATTAGAGTCAAGCCTCCTTTTTACTGGTATAAATCCAAAAGAAACATCCAAGATATAAAAGTGCTTTCACATTGATTACTTTGCATTGATTAATGCATCACAGTGTTTGCATGCATTACTACCCCTATTACTCTTTTTGTTTTTAAGACTCTCTCATACTACCTGACTTGGCATCTGAAACCAGCCAAGTGTTGCATCTAAGTCCAAAAGAGTAATAAGGGATTCATACTGAGTCAGTGCCGCAGTCAAGTTGTGTTGTGACTGGGGAAGGGGAGCATGGTATAGCTGCCCTGCCCAGCAAACTGAACTGGTAAGGCTGGTAAGGGAACTTGCAGTGGAGGAACTACTATTTCTCAAGGCTTTGCTTAGCTTTCTGTAAGAGAGAGCCCCTGTTTGCCCTATGCATGCTATGAGTAGCCCACAAACTACCATGCCGTATTCTACATCAGGATTTCCCACCTGTCTATTCTGATGCAAAAAAGCTGCTGCCCTGCCTCCCTCCTCAGCAGACCAAGACCGCTGTACTTTCATAATACACAGGCATGGGCAGCAGGGCCTGACCTCCACAAGCCCACTTCCACACAGGTATCTGAAAAAGATGGACTTTTTGGAACAGTGACAATTTGGAGATGAATGGCGTGCAGGTGCAACAGGCACAGAGGAAGCTGACAGCTCTGAGTTTCACACACTTGTACCCCTCCATGGGGATGAATAAGTCCTAAAGAAAATAATGAAAGTTGCTGCAAGCTCAGAAGATACTTATTTTGCATTCAGTAACTCTCCAATGTATTATGATGCAGGAGGAAAGTCCCTGTATGCACCACATCTGGGGTACGGACACGGATAGCAGCCAATAGACACACCGTTAGCACAGTATTGGCCCTACAGATAAAAAGGCAACTCCTCCTTACATCTCCTTTCAGAGAGTTTCTGCCTCACCACTAACAATAGAACAAGTATTAATAATGAGAGAACACAGCTTCACAGAGACACTAAACTAGTCCAGGTGAAAATCCTGCACCCAGGTTACCCATCACCAGGATGAGGACTCACCACTCAGCCCTCAGATGACCAATGCATGACAGTGTTCAGCAAGCGGCTGTGAAGTAAGCTCAGAAAAACATAAACATTGATACGATCCCCCGTCAGTCTTTTCTTTGTAACAAACAGTCTCAGATCTCAGACTTTCCTCGTGAGGGAAGTGCTCCAGACCCCTCACCATTTTTGCAGCCCTCCGCTGGACTCTCTCTGGAAGTTCCTTGTTGTTCTTGGACTTAGGAGCCCAGAACTGGACACAGTATTCCAGGTGTGGCCTCACCAGGGTAAAGAAAGTAGAGAGGGAGAAGAACTCCCTCCCTCGAACTGCTGCCCACATTCTTTTTAATGCACTCCAAGATACCATTGGCTTTCTTGGCCACAAGGACACACTGCTGACTCATGGTCACCCTCTGTTGTCCACCAGGACTCCTAGGTCCTTCTCCACAGAGCTCCCTTCCAGCAGGCCAGCCCTGACCCGTACTGATGCATGCAGTTATTCCTCCCCAGGTACAAGACCTTACCACTTGCTACTGTTGGACCTCATCAGGTTCCTCTCTGCCCAACTGTGCAGCCGGCCCAAGTCTCACTGAATGGCAGCACAGCCTTCTGGTGTGTCAGCCATTCCTCTCAGCTTCATATCATCAACAAACTTATTGAGGGTGGACTTTACCCCTTCATCCAGGCTGTTGATGATGTTGAACAAGACCAGATCCAGTACCAAACCCTGAGGAACACCACTAGCTACAGGCTTTCAACCACACTCTGCACCACTGATCATAACCCTCTGAGCTCTGCCAGTCAGACAGTTTTCTATCCACCTCACTTTCCACTCATCTATCCCATGCTGTCTAAGCTTATCTGTGAGGATGTTATGGGAGATAGTGCTAAAAGCCTTGCTGACATCAAGGTAGACAACATCCACTGCTCTCTCCTCATTTACTCAGGTGGTCATGACATCACAGGGGACTACTGGATTGGTCAAGCATGATTTTCCCTTGGTGAATTCATGTTGCTACTCCTGATAACCTTCTTTTTTTCTTCCGCTTGCTTGGAGATGACATCCAGAATAAGGTGTTCCATGTATGCCATCAGTGCTGCAGAGGCACTCGAGAGATGTGGGTTACCAGAAGTGTTGTGAACCTTGGTTAAATGATGTTTGAAAGCACTGAAGACATGAGGAGTTAGATGTGAGGAAAGACTGCTGGACAACCCCAGCTTATTCACCTATAAAAGCAGCCTGAACCAGGCGAGGAATGCATTAGGGGATTCTGCTTTTCAGATCATCTTCAGCACAAATTCTTCAGAAAGATGGCAACATGGAATTGTGGAAACAAAGACAATTACAGATTTTTGCTAGGAAGTTAAAAGCAAAGAAGCACTAGAATTTAAATTCCTTTTGGACTAAATAAATAATGAACTTGTTAACTTTATTTTTTGAATACTTCCTTCAAAAACAGAAAATACAGGAGGCATGGTATTAATAATTTGATTTAAACTCTACTTTAAAATTGTACCTATAATTGGATAAGAAATTCGGCTTTTTCAAGTGTATGCTTTGATAATAGGCCAGAAAGTCATCTGTGCATTTTACTTCTTGACAGTAATCACTTTCAATATTCTGTAAAGGTACCCAGGAGACAAGTAGAGATGTTTGGTAGTGAACAGAAAAACATTATCAGTCTTCAAGAAGACAGTAAAAATTACTGATCTGTGACATCTCACATGTTCAAGTCAATTAAATATGATTAACGACTACCTGGGCTGGTGTGTATGGTGCTCTTGATATATACAAGGAAAAAGGACTGTGGATATTTACTCACCCTCCTCCTCCATATTCATCTGCAGATGTGTCCTGTAGTTCAAATACACATTCAAAAAATGGTTTGGAGATAAGGAAGGAATTGCTGAAACCCCAGAACCGATAGAGGCTTTGCAAGTTTCCTGCTGCCTGCAAATCTGCTAAACCTTTGCCAAGGCAGGAAAAAAATCAAAATAATATTTTGGAGAATATCCTGGAGAATATTTTTAACATTGTCTTCCTGATTTTACAATGAGCACCACGCAACAGAAAGAAGAGGAGGTTCTGCCTACCTGAGCAGGTGGTGGTGGCTGTTGCACAAAGCCCTGGGGTGGCGGTGGTGGCTGCAGCACTTGCTGGGACACTGGTGGACCTGAACCTGTAAAGCCTCCTGGGGGAAGCTGTTGAGTTGGGGAAGCCATGATGTAACCCGTCTGCTGGGCAGGCTGCTGTAGAATGGGTGACGGGTAGACAGGACCAGAAGGCGATTCGGGGTTGTCTCCAGATGACTGACGACTTAAGCTCATCTGGTTAAACTGGGTGGTCATGTCATCTCGCTGCAGGGCAAAAGTCAGTAGAAAACGATGTAGACATGATGTCTGCAGTAGAGTTTAAGCAAATCAGCAAAGCAAAATAGGTTCAAACAGAGCATGAGGGGAAAAGGAGTTGCTCAGCTCGAATAAGTGCCAAACTTTGCAGAGATATCTAGAAAGAATGGAGGCAATTAAAAAGAAAATGACTTTAAATGCTCTGACAAAGGGTGCAAGGTGGTTGGCATGGCCTGACACAAAAGCCAATTATTTTGGCTTTTACCCTCCCCATGTCCTTCTTTTTTTTCCCCCAAATGTCAGTGAACTTTACAGTGTTCAGAAGATGACATTTTCAATAAAAAGGGCATGAAAGTAACGTTATGGTGAATACCTTTTCGCCAAACACAAAATTCCTCATCCAAAGACATGGTGGTAATTTCACCTGTTTTTCAAAATGATCCCAACAGGAATTCACATGCAGATCTTTTCCTTTTTGGACCGTTTTGATAATCCAAGGTTGCAAACATAGAGAAGGTAAAAAAGCTAAGCTTTTGGTCCTTATTTCAAAACTTCTAATGCAGCGTTGGAAAGAAACAAGTTTTATTTGACTGCAGAGGGGAAAAAACATCTATGGTAGGATGAACATACTGCGTTAAATCAATGGACCTAGGTCTTGCTACATGCTGGTAATGATAGAAGGATTCTAGACAGTACCTGTTCAGTCTTGCAAAAAGATTCGTTGAAAATCAGCTCTCAAGTTTATTTCATGAAGGTCAAAGATTTATAAACGTTGATCTGTGCCTCTTCATTTGTGCCCAGATTACAAGACTTTTAAATGTCCAAGATAAAAGTGTATTTTATATAGTAATACACCCCTCATAAAACTATCTAGTGTGCTAATATGCAGATTTCTTATTCCCCCCCCACCCCTCAGGGATGGGCAATAAGCAATGCAAAAATCATTTATATTTAAAACATCAATTTTGTTTTATAAATGATTGATTGTCTTTGATTATGTTGACATTCCTGTGGCGTTTACTCTCCAAAGTCATCCTGCACAATATATTTATCTGCAGGAAACTTCAGAACAGAAAAACATGGCTTTTTGTGGTAAGCACAGCAGCAAACACTTGCTCAACAGCCTCACCCTTCTGCTCTGCAGAAGGATAATATGGGCAATCATTTTAAACACTCTTGTCCAGAGCTTCACGGGGCATAAGAAAGATTGCTATTACCTTTAGTGGCACTCTCTATCCATATTCAGACACATAAGTGGTCTATCTGAAGTCATTTCTTTAAAAAGGTAAGATATTTGTTACCTGGATGGCAAATGACTATAAGCACATTCAATGAGAAACTTCGTTTCGTCTGGAATGTCTTTGGATCTGCACAACAATTTGTACATTGTGCATACAATGTACATTAAATAGACACACTTTGTATTTGATAAAACTAACAATTTCATGAAGAAGGGGAAGTTTGCCCATTAAAATAGTCTAACTTGGCTTTTTACGTTTTAGTGCTTATCATGAGAACAATCTGAGACGCACGGGAGATACTTTTCAAGGAAATTATCACTGAGATATCCAACTTCTGTTCAGCACCAGACATGTTTTCTCATCCTTTAAGTGGTACTGTTCATCTACCAGGCATTAGGAATACTATTCTACCTGCAAGGATCCATTCAGCTTTGTTTCCATCTTTTACTATACTAGGTGACATCTCCCCCTTGAGACAAATCGGTCATAAACAAGATTACCAGGGAAAATAACAAGGAAAAAAAAAAAAAGATCTTGCAGTGCCTCTTAAAACGTCAGCTTTATTTTACAACAGTATAATCTTAGCCCTGGAAGCACCAAACCAGATTCAGACTCCAGAAGCGCACTCTGTTTATTTTTATTATACATGGGCCATTAGTGTTTAGCGGTGATGCACGATAGCATCACACCTTTGGCAGATGGCTCACCAATACTCTGCTTTTTAAGTGCTCTGGTATGATCAGAGAATAAATCTAGGCAGTAGATTTAATATACTGATAAAATAAAGGATTTCCTAGAGGTCTTCTCCAGCTGCAGGCAGAAAATGGGGACAATATCCAAATCTCAAATACCCTTGAGGCTTCAAGGTTTCCTTGAGGCTCCTACTAACTAAGTAGACAGCTCTGCTCCAAACTTCATCGGCCAGGTTGGATAGCAAAAACCAGTGGAGACATTCTTACAAAATGCCTGTCAGTGCTTAAAAATGTTAAGGCCCAGAGGGGTTTAATTGGATCTGTCCTGGGGGAAGCCCTTGCAGTCCTCCCCAGATGCCCTGGGCATGCTCATGCTCAACACACCCACTTCAAGGAAAGAAAATACAAAAGTCTTTAGTACCACAGAAAACTGTTGCGTTGGAGAGACTGGCAGGAGGTGCTGGGGAGGATAAGAAACTGCTGGATATTGGACTGACTGAGAAGATGGCTGCATTGCCTGAACAGGCTGCAAAATAAACACAGTGAAAGACAATAAATACAACCCACTTAGAAAAAGAGATAACAACAACAACAAACTCTGTTTCTGAGAACAAAGGTCTCAAACACAGCTCTGAAAATGCAGGTGACTCATCGCCAGAAGAGAACAAGAGGTCAGGTACTGTGATTTTAGTCCTCATTTTATCTTTCCACAAACAATTCTTTAGTACAGACTTTTCTCCTTATGTTCTTATATTTGGTGGCTGCTAGATGAAGTAAAGCCACAGCTACACCTTTTTATTACTGATGGGAAGCAAAGCCAAATTATAATTTTGCATTTAATTTACAGAGATAAAATGGAAGAGCAGCACAGTGTAAGTTTACATTTGGATTTTGCTGATAATGACTGATTTAACTCAGTGTGTCATAGGCAAAGGAATAATGATTGTAGAGCTGCTTTGGCAGAACATAATAGCTAGCAAAATTAGCAAAAATCAGGGTGCAAATTAATGACAGAGACAGGTCTGTCAGCTCAGAGCAGATGTTTACCTAAGTGAAAAAACAATTTTCTACAGCACTGTTGCCCTGGAACAACTTTACTATTTCTTTTATTTTAATCTCGTTAAACTTGACTCTTACAGAGGTTTGGAACCACCAACTTCTTCTATAACTGCTGAGACCAAATGAAGAAATGAGAGCCACAAACATCAGTGCAACCACAGTAACATCAAAGCAACAGCAGTGATTTTAAACGTCTCTCGGGATAACCTGGGATGAAACTGTGCCCAATTGTAACAACACAAAAAGTACAGTGGATCTTGGCTGCTCTTAGAGCAAGTAGGATATCACATCCTTGCTGGAGTAATTCCCTTTGTCTGCCCTGTAGTCCACCCTGAATGAACAGATACGCAGTGTACAGTTTGAACCAGACCCAAAGTCTGCTGCCTGTGCTTACCCATCGCTGGCCATATGCCATGGCCATCCAGGGCCCAGGGAGAAGAAGCACCATGGCACTAAGCCTAAACTCCTCTGCTATTTCTCTCTACTGCTGCAGCTCCAGAGCTTCTAGCTCACAGTAGGGTCATGGCCAGAGTATGGGGCAAGTGCAGAAGACAACAGGAGGTCTTTCTGGGGGCTAGGGCTGCGAGAGAGCTACCTACAGAACAGGCCTGATGTACCTGGAATGGGAGAGTCAGCAGGGTCCCAAGCTGTACTTGAATTTTTGAACTCAACCCCACTGCTGTGGAAAGGACAGGAAAAAGTCCAAAGCTGTTCACACAGCATCAGAATAAATTTATGCGTGATGGGCCAGAGCCATGGAGAAAGCATAGGGCCCTTGAAGATCCACCAAGTAGTAATGTTTTCTACATTTGCAGTCCAAATTCCCCACCTTCTCCTCCCACACTATCCTTCTGGTTGGGTTCCAGTTCTGCCCCCAGCTTGGCAGACTATAGCCCAGGAATGATGGTGACAAAAATCTCCAACCCTATTTGGTATGTGTAAATATTCTGCATATAGTGTGCCTACGTTGCATGCCTCAATTCTCATACCAAAGGAGGAGAAATCCATAATGAGAATAGTAATCTAAAATTCTTTTTCACAGTCTATTAGCAATAGGGATCAAACTTGCTAAGTGTAGCTGTTAGTATAGTATAAGCCTACACATGGATAAAAATAGAGAAAATGTGCAGAGTAATTAAACATTAGGAAGGAGAAACCATTAGTATACATTCACCTTTACTTTCAAAGCTATGGAAGGGTGGCTGGTAAAGAGTGAATATAGATCTGTGCTCCCACGCCTCCACTTTCAGCAATTTGTACTGAACTACAGATTACACTAGTCTGAAAATGAATGCTTCAGCTTCTATTTGCACGGCAGTTTTTCCAAAAGAAATTTAAAGACTATATAGATATACATCAACTAGCTTAATAGTACTTTTCAAAATGAAACCATCCTTTAGATGGAATTTGAAAGGGAACTTTATTTCTCCAGCTGTTTCATCCACACTGGAAATACACGGTTTTCTTCAAAAGAAAAGAACAGAAAGCATTTTGTCTAGTTGCAGCCTTCCCTCCCCTAATCCTTTGGTTATCCTCCATACCCCTGAGAGCTTTGTTTCTTTGTCCAGTGGCCAGCACACCTACCTGTGTGACAAGGTGACTTGCCATTTGCTGCTGAGGCTGTTGAACCTGCTGAGGCTGCTGGGATGAAGGCTGTTGCTGAGACTGTCCCACCATCTGGCTCCTCATTGTCGGCTGGCTGCTGGGAGGATTGTATATTGCCGGTGTCCCATCAGGATTTACAAAAGGTTGACCTGAAACAAAACACACTTCCTTTGCTGAACATTTTAAAAAAATGACTGTTTTCTGTATGAAATCACATCAGCTTGCTCCAACTGATCACTAATTGACCTGCTACAACAGTAAAGTGATTGTTTTTCTCATTACATTATCAGTCATCTATTTTTTTGCAGGCAAGGCAGATAACTGATATTTGTTTTGGCAGTACCCACAGGGAGTAAGTAAAAGGTTGCCATGACTATAAGATGATTCAGGTGCTTTGGTTACTGGAAATCATTCAGTGATGAATCAATTAGTACTAAGACTGAACTCTGGAACAAACACTGAAAGCAGAGGATATTCATGTACATTTTACATCTGTACAGTGGAGGTTAAATCATAGAATCCGAGGATGACCTGGGTTGAAAAAGAGCACAGTGCTCATCCAGTTCCAACCCCCTGCTGTGTGCAGGTCGCCAACCAGCAGCCCAGGCTGCCCAGAGCCACATCCAGCCTGGCCTTGAATGCCTGCAGGAATGGGGCATCCTCAGCCTCCCTGGGCAACCTGTTCCAGTGCCTCACCACCCTCTGGGTGAAAAACTTTTTCCTAATATCTAACCTAAACCTCTCCTGTCTTAGCTTAAAACCATTTCCCCTTGTCCTATCACTATCCACCCTTGTGGATGCAACTGTAGAATGTATGCAACCACTCTTGACACACCATACTTCCCAGACATACAAGAAAAAAGCCTTTGTTACTAATTTATTTACACACTGTAGTAACAGCGCTGTTCTTCAGAGAGTGGTGCCCTACTACAGGATGCAGCCCCAGAGGTCATCAGGGAGGAAACAGTTAATATATCTATGAAAATCTCTTATATAAGAAAAAAATTCTACCCAATTTTTGCTAAAGGCAGTAGGCGGTATGTATGTAACAGGCGCTGAACTCTTTTTGCTTCAGATATAACAAAATAAAATATTAAAAAATTATCCTTGCCCAAGTGACTGCCTTACAAAAAAAAAAAGAAAAAGAAAAAGAAAAAAAAAAGAAAGAAAAAGAAAGAAAGAGTTTTGCCCTGTAGGCAGTATTTTTCCTTGACCTCAGTTCTGTTTAATTCTAACAGAAATTCATAAATCAATTTAATTACATATGCATACTTAAGAAAAAATAAATTCTAGGTACAAAGTGATGACAATGAATATGTAGGAAAGTGAAGTAGGAATATCCGAGATGAAATAGGAGATTTGGAGGAATGTGGTTACTCTGAGTAAGAGAAATAAAGAGCTTGTGTTTTTTATGCCTCCCCTGGTCCAGGCAATGCCTCTGCCTATTCCATCTATTCATTGCTCAGTGCTTTTTTGTTCCTTCCTCTTACTATTGTGATCAGAACCACAGGAGAAGAGCCAGATGAAGAAACCTTGCCTTCCCTCACCAAAGTACAAGCATTTTCTGGATTAAGTCATATTCACAGTGGGAAAATGAGGGAAAGATCAAAGAGAGTGGAAGGGAGGCATGGGTCAGTTGTGTGCATTAGATGGTTTCCTGATAGTTGCTTTGAAGATCCTGGGTGAAAAATGGCATGGAGAGAAACATTTGTGGCTTTTTTTCCTCCTTAACTTGGGAGTCTCGGGCTGCAGAAGTATTTTTACTAATGAGCAGCATATAACACTTAATCACATCCAGCTGGTGTCTCCTTATAGGTTCGGAAGATTCAAGGCCCACCAAAGAAAAAGAGGTAGTGACAGGGGAAGTTTAGTTAAATGTGACCTTCTTATGAACCAACTGTGAATTTGCTGGCAAACAACACAGCACAAAGCTGCAAAGAATAAACACCTGTAACAGAAACACCACAGACTGCTGTCCAAAGGGAAAACCAATACAGAAGAGGCTTAGAGAGAAAATGAATCCAAAAAGCAGTACATGGGCTACTGGGAACTGGACTGGGTGAGCAAGGTAAGAGCCTTCTGAAGCATGTGGCAAGCACTGAAATGAAGCCTTGAAGAAGGCTTCATTTATAGTGACTCAGAGAAGGAGGACAGGACCAGAAGAGAAAAGGTCTGGAAATGCTTATAAAGATATAAAGAAGACCTTTTAAGAAGAAATTTTGAAGTAGGTAATGAAAAGGAGAGGTCAGATGCCAACATGGAAGACATATGTAAGTGATGAACTGTGGCCTTAATAGAAGGGCAAAGATTTTGATGCCATCTGAAGGAGTAAGAATTAAATGTAAATGCTCTTAAATGGTGAAAGGGGTTAAGTCAGAGAACATGTCAAGAGGAATCCTTTAAAGGGTAAAGCTGGTGAGGCAGGTGAAATGGAGAGTAAAAGAACACAGCTGCATAAACAGTCCCTACCCAAAGCTTCTCTATCTGGGGAAGGAGACGGCTGAACTGAAAAAGTGGAAAGAAACTGTGAATATGTAGAAGCATGAGGTGCCAACACCTGAGAAGGAGCTGAGCAGTGTAATGAAAACAGGGAGGTGCTGACAGCATCTGTGGATGCCATTAGAGGCTTGCCGTCAGTGACTGTGTAGTGTGAAAGGAAGCAAAGATCTTAAAGGGCATGGTGTTAGGATCCAAAGAGAGAAGACAGGAAGTAACCACTTTCTAAAAGGAGAATAAAGAACTAAAGAATGATGTTACACAGAAAAAGAATCTATTCATTACAGGAAACAAAGCTCCTTTTTCCTTTTCTTTAAACTGTCTTCTCTTCATCTATGTTTCTGACAGCATCCATCACTTTGATAGTTGAGCACAGCATCCAGCAATCTCTATGCCTCCTCCCTATGGAGCCTCTTTTGTAGTGTTACTGTAATAAGATGCAAAGATTTTGAGTCCAAAGAGTGGAAAATTTGTAGCATGTATTTTGCTGCATGTTAAAAACACAGCAGATGCTACAGTACACACTGGCTTCCAGCACAGGTAGCAGTGTGAAGCTATACATTTGAATCAGTAATTTCAGTCCTTGTAAGAATCTGCTCCTTGCATTCCCTTTAGTATGCATATATTTATTTACAGATAAGCTACAGAAATAAGACATGCAGACTGAAAAAAAATTAGAATTACACGTACATAAAAACCACTCACACTGTGAATGTTAAACATACAGACATGGAACTTGGTTATGCCCCTGCAGACAATGAGGCACACCAAAGAAAAGACCAGGCACTCTGATCTAGAGGCAGCACTGACAGGCATTATGCCTGTAGCAGACACAGACTCCCTAGGTAGCAAGGAAAAATATGAGCTTGCTGATGCAAACTGCTGAACTGCCAAAGCTGATGCAGGGTATGTTTCTCTTAAACACCTCTGATAGCTTGCAAGTGTGGTGAGCTGCAACCTTTATCCTTGCTATAGCCAAGAACGGGTACAACCTCTGAGCCGTTGGTTTGACTGGAGGCAGCAGTGATTCTTTCCACTTGTTTCAGCACTAGCATTTGAATTATAGATGGACTTCTGCCTAGGCCTGATGGGTTTTGTATGAAATCACACAAAATACCTTCGTCTGTACTATCCTGAAACTCTGATGTTGCAGATAGTACTCTCAGCTTCCAGCACAATGGAAATAAGTTCATAAACATGGGTTTTGTAGAATACCTACCTTCCATTCAGTTCTCTCCCGTAATTTGACTTGCTAAGAAATGTCTAAATACTCCACGTATGCTGCCAAAATTAGGCTCTCATATAAAGCATATCATAACTTAGGAACAACTACACAAACATTAAAAGCTTTAGAAAAGTCAGCTCTGTCTGGAAAGAACTTAGCACTTAGAACTTCTCCCTGATCACAAATTTGCTGATAGGTACTGATTATCTCCAGATATTTCTATCTCTATATGCCCAAGTAAAGCTTGGTTTGATGGTTTTTTCAGGAGTGATTTTCTTAAATGCAGCAACTTTCATTTTTTCTCGATTCCATTCTAACTCAACATTATTAATAGTGGACTCACAGATCAGCTCTACACATTTGCACCCAAAGACTGGAAGGCAGAGGTGTAATATACATAAAGTACTGGTTGTAAGTAATAATCCCTAAATGAAAAGCTTTTGAATGCTCCATTGAGGACTTAGAAAAAAACCTTCTAGAGTTCAACTCTGAGCCCCCTGTTTAATGAAAAAATTCAGTGCACTGTATGCTTTGTTATTTTAATCCTAGCATAACTCAGCTAAGGATGACAGCACAGCTAGTCACGGTCACCGAAACAGTGCAAATCACTGAAGAAGCATCACAGTCTCAACCTCCCTGAACCTTTTTAATGCTGTCAGTATAATACTGTGGGGAGTAATAGCGTAACATTATCTTGACTTCATCTGGACCAAGGGAGGAACAAATTGCCTTAGACTTTCAGCAAGCACTCAAGTTCAAGCTGAGTGGCTTCTAAAACGCTTGGATGACAGAAAATGCCTAGTTAAAACTGCAGTTCTTAGTACCAGAACAACACAGAATTGAGATTACAACTTTTTTCACAGAACTCCCTGTTTACATACAATTGCTAATCACATAGCTCAGGTAAGAAAACTAACTCAGCAGTGCTATTTCAAATGCCTTTTGAAATTCTTCTATTACTAAGTACAACCTCTAGAACTTTGAGCATCACACTGTACTTGCACCATACCTCAGCATGCTTGATATGGAAGAGTATCTGTTTCTACTAAAGTTTATGGACACTCAGAGGATTCACAGCCAAGGAGTGCCAGGATTTCACAAGATGAATACCCTGCCCAAGACTGCATGAGCACTATGTTTTGCATTACTTCCCACCACAGAACCTCTCTACAAACAAGAATTGTGCTGAGTTCCCAGGTGACACGAATAACACTGAAATGCACGTGGCAGGAGCACACTGGACTGACCTGTGTGTGGGTTGAGCAGGATACTGCCAGGAGGTATCCCTGCAGCTTCAAGTGGAAGAATGATATAGCTGGTGTTGCTGGGAGCCACCTGGCCACTCATCCCGTTCTCAGGGTAGGACACGCTGCCCGAATTGCTGGCAGTCAACCCGGGGACAAGAGGTGCACTTTGGAGAGGCTGATGTATTCGTGACAGGGATCCTGAGGAGCCAGCACTGCTGGAAGACTCTGAGCCTAAAAGAGAGATGGAACCGCAGTTATGAGAAACCCAGGCTCCCACCAGACATGTCTCATCTACAGGGACAAACATAAGCAGTAGTGCATGCCCAGCTGGCAAGAGTAGGGTTTTTTTTTCCCTCCCCATCGAGCTCAGTATTCAGATTAATTTCTACAATTCAGAAGTTTCAAATTCAACCAGCTAAACCAAATGTACTAACACACACCTGTGACTGGGAGGAGGGGAGCTTCATTCTTTTAAAAACCATATGTAATTTTCAAACTTCAGAGATTCTACTTGTGTATTGGTTTCCTTCTAAGACATCTCACAAGCAACCTGTTATCTAACAAACACAGCGTCTTTCCAGATTGCCATGGATCGTTGTGTAAAAGCTGATGCAAACTTTCCTTCTCCAAACCCCATCTCCATATGGTAGCTAGGCAGCTACAACAGAAATAGTTCTCTTATACGAGCTGTGCACTACTTGCCATTGGCAGGACCTTTAATCTGCTTCCCCAACATCTATTCAAGAAAGTTGTAGTGATTGCAAAGGACTTTTTTTTTTACATTTCTGTAAATACACTCCAATGTTGTCTTAATGTACTTGTTATTTATATCTCTCTGTGCATACTGAGGCTGGAAAATATAGATTATCTCTGCAGGGACAGTTCTATTTATTTGATCATTTAATATCTCTACATTTCTACAACTGCGGAGATTTTCTTGGAGATCATCCTCACCAAACTCCAAGTGATTCTTGGCATCTTCCTGTCAAGTGTAAATGCAGATATGGGAGTTCTATTTTCCTTCTGCAGGTCCTTTTCTGCTCTTCTCTGGCCATTCTATGTGCATTTCATACTGCTTATTTGAGTTCTCACTTTACTTTCTCCTCTATTCTGCCACCCATGAATTCAATGGGTTAGAAAGCTACTTGGAGATTCCAGACAAGATTCCATAGCTCGCCCCCCAGCCTGTTATTATTTCTAAGCCTATAAATACTATCAAACCTAAGTTCAAACTCTCCTCTCCCCGTTTAGTGCTATTCTGAAGAAGCACCATTAGCATAAAAGAAGATTTCAGCTATGACATTCGTTATTTTTCCCTCCTTTTCAGCTGTTTTCATGTCCGAATCACAGACTGATCTTTACCAACATCTGAATGTTAAAAGCCAAAAGACTGTAACGAATTCAGATGTACTCATCAAATGGAAGGCAGAAGCAGGAGAACGATCTCTGAAGCTACCACCACGTGTTGGCTGAGACGAGAGCTAAGAACTGTGTTCCTTACAAGATCACAGAGCTGCATTCCTGTGTCAGTAGATCAAGTTGGTGATTTTGAAAGAATGCAAACAAGGTGCAAAACCATTTTTGCTATTTTCTTAATATTTTCCAAAATATTCAGAAATTATTACCTAACCACTTTTGCCACAATTTATCCTGTCCACGATAATCTATTTTAAATTTTCCCCTCATTACAACTTCTCATCAGTTTCAGTCTACATATATTAAACCAAATAAATGCCAACACTAATGCTTGGAAATTAACACCAATTAATCTTGTCTCTGTAGCTCTGATTAGCCGTTTTCACAGTTTCTAAATTTGGAATAAGAAATCACCACAGAATGAATTCAGTACTGTAACAAATGACCAAAAAAAAGAGAATCTGACTTTATTCAGACTCCCATTAAGAGATGCCTTCATAAAGTCTTCTGAAAGGATCTCTGACTAAATGAGATTTTTGCCCCCATTATGCAACCCAACGTCTTTTTTCAGTATGTAATACTGGCTACTTCTAGTTTTATCAATAATTTCCTTGCTGCTTCACAGCTGACATAATAGAAACCTTCACATTCTCATCATTTCCCGTTAATATATTTTGAAGTGTTCTGAGAAATACAGCGGTTCAAAGAGCAGTGAAAGAGAATGAGACAAAAATCACCACAAAACCTTAATAGCTTAATTTTTCAGGGGGAGTGTGTGGAGGTACCATTAGTTTCCCAATATTCTGAGCACTAACGAGCAATGCAACACATTTTGCTCCATTTTCTTTGAGTTAGTATTCAATATCTGATGGATTTGAGCCTCTCTGCTCAACTCACCTTGAGAGTCTATGGTAAATTTTCCCTTTGTTATCAAATGGGCTCAAGTGCTACCCACTACTTGCTCCAGCAGGTCTTCTGTATAAGCAGGACCATGCTACATTTGGGAATCACAAAATCACAGGATCACAGGGGCTGGAAGGGACCTCTGGCAATCACCAAGTCCAACCCTCTGCTAATGCAGGTTCCCCATTTGTCTGCTGCTTTCCTAAGTCACTTGTAATATTTGCATGTTATAATCCTTGTTGTCTTTCATGAGAATGGCATGCGCTCATGTGAACACAATACTTTTCTACAAGCCTCACTCCTAAAAATAAGACTGATCATCCAGCACAGTCAGCTGGTGGGAAGTTTACGACTGGAAGCAGTTGGCTTAAAATTTATTACCCACACGTCAGCATTCCTGCTATTACTCTTGGACTTGCAAAACCCATCAAGCTGATGTTTGATCAAAGGAAATAGTAAAGAAGCAGAAATCCAGTTCCAAAATCCAGACCCAATATTATAATTCACAGAATATCTTATATATATATAAAAAAGTTAACGTATTGAAGTGCCTGCAGTATAATAGTCTTTGTGTGACAGGAGTAGCAGTGAACACCTAACAGGAGAGATTAGATCGTATCTCCGATTACTTGCAGCCACTCCAAGGAAGTTAATGATTCCTACAGATCTGTATCAACACAGCTGATATCTCCACAGCCATCTTTTCATAAATGGGAGAGAAAGAAACACGCTCCAACAGATGTGCATTCCACACTATGGAAAATGCATTAAGAGAAGCTAAAGATGCAGCACTGAGACCTTGTAAGCCTTTCAACAGTTACTAAAATAAATATAAAGCCACATACACAGGCACAGAGGACATTTCTTTGGAACACATCTTGTCTTCCCTCCTGATGAAGTACATTAAAAACTACTGTAATGTGACAGCGAAAATAAGGTGATGTTTATGAGCTAGACTTTCTCTTGATGTGGGTGGTTACAGATTGCACAGATCCATCTTTGACAGCCATAGGGACACTCACAACTACTCACATTTAGTCAACCTTGAAAAGACAGCTCTGCCAGTGGAAATCTAAACTAAGATTTTGTAGGCTGTCCCTCAGCTGTCCTAATGTAATCTGACTGCAGCTTGTCACAGTAGTAAGTCCTAATTTTGGCACTCGATTACAACCTAAATAATACATCTCTGTATCTACTAAGCTGCAACATAATGAACTAGAAAACTTTATTTCAAGTACTGTATTTAAGTTCTGTATTTTTTAAGGGGAACAGTGCCTTCTAAGTAATCAACAGGTGCATGAAAGTAATACTCAAACAGTATGATAACCACATAATGGGTTTCAAACAGTTCCTTTTGTGAAATCTGCAAGAATTAAGTATCATAATTCCTCTGCTATACTCTTATTGCCATGCAGCTGAATGCAATTAGAGTGTAAGACTAATAGATACTGCTAGACTCCACTGCAGAGAACAGCACGTTCTCTGATCTGTCATTGCCTACGGGGAGGCAAACTTCTTTCAGTGCTTCAGTTTCTCTAAGCCCACTATGCAACATCGATTACTGATTTATCAGAAGTGAAGGCTAAGGGCAGAACATTTAATTTTGGTGAAAATATTTAGAATTATCCAGAAAGACTACAGTGCTAATACTGCATTGCAATATACATTCCAAAAGGTAGCTGTGGGCCATCGGTGAAAATCCTTGAAGTCTTATTATCTGAATGCCCAAGAAAAGTATCTGACAGTTCTTCAGGATGACCATCAGATGTGTAGCATAATTTTCACATTTCAAATAGTGGAAAACATTTTTCATCGTTTAACCAGTGGAAAACATTTTGACCTACTGCTGCCTTTAGACTGATTCAGTATTTACTGTGTTTAAGACAAAAAAAGCTCTGAGGGCTATATTACATATATGAAGAACGAACACTTCATCAAGACATATTTCCCTATCGTTTTTTAACAGTTATTCTGCTCTGTTTTAACACCAGTCATTGACATTTCAGAGAGGACAGAAATAGGGACTCAGATATTATTTCCTCTGGCTTTCCTCAGGCTGACTGACAAATTCACTTTGTGTCCCAACTTTGAAGGTGTGACTTTATTTTGACATCCAGCCTTGCTCTTTTCTCTCTCCACTCTTCCTTTTATTTAACTTATTTTCACTCTTTCTATGCATCAACTTGCTTCCACAATGAAAACCTCCGCGTTAAAAAAAAAAGTCAGAGCACTTACAACATGTAATTGCTCTACAAAGAACATGGCATTTTAATATCAATGATGTTTTAAAAATGTATTGTAAGAGCTCTCATTTGAAAGCAATTTGGGGTTTGGTGCCTAAGGAGTACAGATGCACTTACCATTATTCATATGCTTTGGAGATTTCTATTTTAATATATCTTCCTAAGTGCACCCTTTAATATGCTTGACTTTAACACCAAAATGGCTACTTAAAAGCATTAATGTTTTGCAATTAGATGTCTCAACCCGCCAAACTGGATTTCCCTGACACTGTTGTGAAGGCTCTGCACCTCTGCATACCACGTTGCAGAGTACACACTGGTTGTGCTACATGCACTGGCTGCTCTACCCAGAGACACATCCAGCCTGGCCTTGAATGCATCCACGGCTGGATGCCCCACATCCCTGGAGGCATTCAAGGCCAGGCTGGATGTGGCTCTGGGCAGCCTGATCTGGTGGTTGGTGACCCTGCACATAGCAGGGGTTTGAAACTAGACGATCATTGTGGTCCTTTTCAACCCAGGCCACTCTATGATTCTGTGGAACATAGAACATGCCTGTATTCAGGAACAATAAAGAACTGAAAAGAAAAACAAAACAACAACAAAAACCCAACTATACTGTACTAATATTTATCAAAGACAAAATAAGGTCTTAATTCCATAAGATTGCACATATGGAGAAGCAGAGTAGAACTACAGGAGAATCTTAAGATTCAAAGCCATTGTTTGTTCAAGGTAAAAGGAAAGGTAAAAAGAAAGGCAAAAGAAAAGCAAAAAAAGAAAGATGCGGGATATTGTGAATGCTCTCAGCTTCTTTAGGAGCAGCAGGGTTGGAGAGAGGACCCTTCTGACCACTGGGTACCCTTCCTTCTCTGAAAAAAACTGTGACTGTGTTCAAATTGGTGACATTTAGACAGTTACAAAATCAAAGGTTTCCTCAGTTCACTCCGAAAACACCATTCCTGAGCATCCTGAAGCAGAGCAAAGGCTACCATGCCATTTTGGGAACAGGAATGAAAACTGGCTAACAAGGGTCTGACAAGCAGAATTAAAATTAAGTATCATCCGTAAAGCACTCTCAAGCTGAAAAACCACTAAGTGCTAAGTATTGATTACCACTTGTCCTGTACTATATTTACCAAGTGAACCAAACCAATGGGATCATCTGATGGGCTAATTATTTATTATGCACTTTTACACAAAAATACAATAGAGTCGCTTAATGGCATGGCTTGAAATTACTTAGGTCCATGCCCTGTGACTCACTCACATGTTAATGAACCCATGAAGTTAATGCAAATAAATGCAGAATTCCCACCAGGTTCATAGTACCCTTAAACGATGATTTCATTTAATTGGAATCAAACAAGAAAATGGAGAGGCTGCAGGACCTCTGTGAATCCAGAGCTTCTGATGGCTTCTACCACAGCACACTGGCTCATCTGCCAACAGATGGAGAGGCAGGACTCCAGCATGCAGGTGGTCTGTATTTTAGCAGTGACGACAAAACGCTCTTAGAATTCTCATCAGCTGTATGACACAATTCTTCAGGATTCAAAAAGAGTAAGATGAATAAAAAGGTGCAATCTGTGCCATTCATTTATTTTGTTACAAAAGCTACTACCTTTTGAGGCTACGATTAGAGGGAGTGTCCAAATAGGAAACTGCAAATACTCTATTCCCAAGAAAGCCTACTTCACATCTAAGGTTTGCAGATCTCAAGGACCAGCAATTGTCGATTCCTATAAAATGAACACCCAGTAGCCAGCCACTAGCATACACAGATGGGCAAACACAGCTGCCATGTACGTTTATCACTGTGCAGCAAAGAGTACTGCGAACCCAATACAGTACTAGCTACCTGTTTTAGACAGTTTGCCGGTACTTCTGTTACTTGATGAGCTATCTCCTCTTGTCAGGACGGTTATGCCACCAAAACTTGCTGTCTTTGTTATGGCTGGCTTCAAATTTCGATTTGAACTGTCCGAGTCTGTGCTGCTCCATGGCCTCTGGTGGTCTGTCCATTTCAATTCATTCTCCGTGCTGCTCTGCCGACTGCCAGATGCCTTCCCTGTGCTATCTCTGTTCCCCCTGCGGACATCAGAAAACAAAGATTCATACACAAACAAAAAGACTGTCAGGGCAGAGCCTATCTTTGGGTACCCTGCAGTGAGCCAACTAAAGAAAAAGGAAGTACTCTGCATTTACAAAAGCATGCCTAGAAGGGGGAATTTGACCCCAATACTCATCCACCTTGAGAAAATTAACATTGCTGCAACTCTTCTTTACATGCACAGCACTTACCAGTGCTCCCCTTTCCCATACATCCCAGGAGCTTTTCACTAGACAGGACTGATGAAGCAATATCACACTGGGTGACGTAGCATATCCACTGCCTGTTCACCCACCTACCACCTCAGGCAATTCCTCGACATCTCTCCCTTTGCCGTCCATCAACTGTAAGGCTTTCCTCACTAACATCGCTTGCCCTCTACCTTTGTCTTCACAACTACCCTCTTTATTTCTGTTTTACCTCATTGCTACTCATCTGCTCTGAAAGTCATTCAACCCTCTTCCATGAAGGTATCTTCATAGAATCATAGAATCACCAAGGTTGGAAAAGACCTAAAAGATCACCCAGTCCAACCGTTCACCTATTCCCAATAGCTCCCACTAAACCATGTCCCTCAGCACAACATCCAGCCTTTCCTTGAACACCCCCAGGCTCGGTGACTCCACCACCTCCCTGGGCATCCATTCCAGTGCCTGACCACCCTTTCTGAAAAGTAATACTTCCTCATGTCCAGCCTGAATCTCCTCTGCCGTAGCTTGAAGCCATTCCCCCTGGTCCTATCACTGATGACACGAGAGAAGAGGCCGACCCCCAGCTCACTACAGCCTCCCTTCAGGAAGTTATAGAGAGCAATGAGGTCTCCCCTGAGCCTCCTCTTCTCCAGGCTGAACAACCCCAGCTCCTTCAGCCTGTCCTCATATGGCCTGTGTTCCAGACCCCTCACCAGCTTTGTTGCCCTCCTTTGAACCATTTGCCCACCTTCCCACCATGAGCCCAAACTTTTCAACACTGATGCTCCATTTAGAGACCCCATCAAGTTTGGTTTTCTCCCCTCTATATACACTAATAACATCATCATGTTCCCCCTCTGCCTGTGTCCCAGCTTTAAGTTGCAAAAAGCTCTGGGTAGAGACTGCCTGTCCTTGAATAGCTGCGGAGCATCCTGAGTACCATGAGTGACAACACAGCAAACTGGGAGCAGAGAGCAAAAAACAGCGGAAAATTTGCCTTATTTATGATGAATTACACTGCATTGCTAAAATGACAGAACCAGCATGCCCTACTACGGCTTCGTGTGCTATGACCCAAGTGAGGCTTGCAACACTGACTTTCGGAAGGCTTTCAGAAGACATTTCCCAAAACTGTCTTATTCTGCAGTCGTCTCCATCAAAGCACTTTCTAGAAATCAAAAGGATGAGAGTGGATCTACTGCCTTTCCACTCCCTTTCTCCCTGTGAGCGTGGCTCCTGCTCTCTCACTGGAGAACGTGCCAAGCTGTGCCACTCAGGACGAGAAGGAGCAGGGTGCCAAGGACGGGATCAGGCTGGTGCATTCCTTGCCTGCAATCAGAGCCGCACACCCATGTGATCGGCAGCATTTACCTGTTGACCTTTGCTAGACCCAGACAGAGGGAAAACACGAAGAGAAACAGCACAGAAGCAACAACATTAAAAAAAAAAAAAAAAAAAAAAAGGGAAAAAAAAAAAGATTTAAAAATTAAAAAAAATAAATTGTCTTTAAGATTTAATTGGAAAGGACAAAAAGTTTATTATTTACAGATGCTTTTGCATTCCTGTGCTTAAACATCAGTAATTCTCTTATTTTTATATTCTAGTGAAAGAAAGGGAGAGAAAACGAATGCTTATGCATCCCCGTTCTCTGTAGTTGCATGTTACACAAAATTCCTACTTGCTCCCCAAACCTGAATAGGTATCATTTATTAAGAGCCTCTGCGTGGATATTTCTGATGCTTCCTCACTCCTGTATGCCCAATCCAAGACCATCAGTTCACCACGGCTAGCCCAAAGCATGGAGAAGTTTTTCTGCCAGCTCCAGCTCTTCTCCTCCACCCGTGGACTTGTCATCTCCTGTGGCTGCTGTGCAGACATGCACAATTGGCAAACAGATATACACATCAAATAATCCTGTGTCCTCTCACCTCATAGTAAAAATCACGTTAACATAGGTGATACGAGCTTGCAGTGACAAACTATCACTGCTACAAATGCAAACAGCACATCTGGCCATACCCATGCTCTACTAGATGAAGGATATGCTTCTGAAAGAATTCATCACTTCTGCCTGCTCTGCTTAAAGTTTGTGGCAGCTGATTGGCTTTATAAGCAGCTTGGCATGCCAAACTTTGATTGATTTAAATCTGTTGGTGCTCCTGGCATGGGATGAGAGCCTGTCTAAGTTCCTCAGTTGGATCAGGTTGGGTCTTCCACTGCCCAGGTGCTCTCCATGAAAATATGGATTGATTCTTTGTGTCATGGGATGTTCCTTGGGATACAGATTATGACTGAATAGTCTCTGGGCAGATGGAAAAAGGTTTTGGAACAGAAAGGCAATGGAGAAAACTTTTCCCAAGCACTGATGCTTTAAGATAAAGGTTTCAACTCATTACATTTTTATTTCAGCTTTAAATAAAACAAAGAATGGAAAAAATGTCAGGCTGGGCACTAGTCTGTGAAAAATGCCTGAACTACAGCTAAATGGACTCCCAGCAGTTACAATAATCCCCAAATTCTGGGAGCCCAAACAGCTGAAAATCTAGATGTGGTTCTGGAGCTGATGATCAGTAAAGCCAAAGGAAAGTGTCCTGCCCTGATCTCCTCATTCAGAGAGCATGGGATAAGCAAGATAAGAACTTCAGTGCTCCCTTCTGGACAGAAAAATGACATACCCATACCCAGGCAAGGTGTCAATGGCAAGGACACAGGCAGAATCACAACTGAGAGTTACTGGGAAACAAATATTAAATAAAGTAAGCCATACAAACCTAAACAGCTGTCTTTTCTTATGGGTATCATTGCATATGCTACTGTCTTCCAAGAGCCTACTGAAAAAATGAAAAGAAAGATTACGGTAACACACACAGTAATACAAATCTATCTTTAAAATTACATGTAGTTTCTAGCAATATCTTCCATCTTGCCCGCTTAACAGTTAAAAAAGCAAGGCTAAAATTGGCCCCCAAATCCCATTCCCACAACTTGGCAATCAACCAAACATAAGCAATGTCAGCCAGGGAGGCTGAAGGCCATTTAATATTTCCTATTACCAAGCAAGGTAATTCTCAGAAGCCAAGGAACCATACTTCTACATCTAAAAGAAAATTCATTAGAATGTCACCTAATAGAACATAAAAATGCAAGCCAGCAAAATAGTGCAAGCGTAATTTTAAGTACTTGCTATGTCCATTGGAAATCTCTGCAGCACAGATAAACGCTCAGGTTCAGCTTTTCAGGTAGACGAAAAAAGGCAAAGCACTTAAACATGTGTGAAACTTCCAACACAGCAAATCCACAAGATTGCTCACGTGCACAGAGCTCAGTATGAGTTTAAGTGTTTCACCTGGCCGATGGCTGTATGGCATGCAGCAAGAAAAAGCAGTGCTCTGATCTTCACCTGAGTGTGCATCCTCACACTTATTCTCCCATTCCCAGGGATAAAAAAGCAGGTTTATGGGAGTATCTTCTTTTGGCTTTTCAGGGTTCCTCTGTTAGAATTTTTGTTTATTCTGACAAAATGTATCTTGTGATACAGAAGCAGCAGCTGAGGTAATGTACTGGGCTCTCAGAACACAAGGTGGTTAGGTGGCAGTGGGACATCCTGAGGGATATACCTCCTTCTCCCTTCAGGACCATCCACCAGAAAGGCTGTTTTGTACCGCTACTGAGGAGTCATTTACCATGGGAACAGCCTTACTCATAAATGACAAAAGTAAGGATGTACAGAGATAGAAATACTGTGAAAGATGATCTTCTCGAAGCCAACAATGAACAGTTTTAGAACGTGCGCAGCTCCAGCACTCACCGGTGAAATGCCCAGCATTTTGACTGAAATCCTTATCTGCCATAATGGCACACAGTCCCTAAGATCTTCCATGCTTATTTATGGCTGCTACAGAGCTTTGTTCATCATATACCGTCAGAATTAACACACAGTTTCTTCTTCCCTTTGCTTGAAGTGGATTTATTATAAGGAACCTGAAGAACCATCACACAGTAATGCAGTAACAGTTGGCTCAGGTACCATCATTGCATTATTACAATGCAGGACCACAGCAGGCAGGACCTGGGGGACTCCTGAGCCCTCAGCAGCAACAAGCGGCTCAGTGCTGCCATGAAAACTGGGTTAAGCACCAGAAACACAAACACCTTGTTTCGTAAATACCATCATCCAGCTGCTGCTCGAGTGCTTCTGAAAGATCGGTAAGTTAAATTCTGAGGGCACTCCAGAGAGAGATTAGTCACTTGAAATGAAACATTAGATGGGCTTTCTCCTGCACCACCACCCTGCAACCACCTTTTGAAAGTGAAATGCAGAGTATGGGGAAAGCAGCACTAATACCTCACTTATTTGTTCAAACACAGCATTGCAAGGCAACCCCTTCCTCCCCAGCCGTCCCTCCCTCCCCAAAGCAGAAAAACACCACAGCTGTTATGGATTATGAATTTGTTCAGTGCTTTTGGCATTAACAGCTATGGATACACCAAATAGTAAGAGAGAAACAGCTAGAGAAATTAAAAAAAAAAAAAAAAAAAAAAGCTGTATTTTTTTTACCTGTTTTCCACAAAAAGGTTTTCCTGGGAGCAAACTGACTGAAAAATAAAAAAGGCATTGTATCAGACGTTCTAGATATGCTCTGCTGTTCCAATTCCTTCCTTGTTTTTAGAATTATCTCCCCTGGTCAGGCATAAGGGGATTTCAATTCATGCATCATTTGCATTTGCAGAAGACAAGAGGGGAAAAAAGGTCAAGAATGAGGTCAGGCCAGTAAAATAAATTCCATGCATTACAACACATTGCCAACAAGGGGTCTCAGTTTGGAAACAAACTGAAACTTCTCAGCCCTGAGATCAGAAGAAGGTGGAATGTGCAAAATGCAGGTGATTCAAAGGGAAAAACATTTTGCCTACATAAAGCGAGTTTCCACAAGTCTGCCCTACCACCCAGAAATAAGATTGCAGAATAGCACAGAGCTGCAGGTAGGGAAGACAAACAGGAGGAGAGCATGCAAAGTCAACAAAGTTCTTCAAAGGGAGAGAAGATACTACAGCACTTAGAGATACTAAGTGATTTTGCGTGGAGAGGAAGCAGCCATACCCACATCGAGATATAAAATGAGGGTAATATTAATAATAATAATATCAATAATAAAATCTATTGCAAAAATGCTTCTCTGCTGGAGGACTTAGATGACTTAGACCCCGAGAAAGGTGAAGGGCTCGGAAGAAATAAATCCTATTGGCAAGTGTGCAATTCTTCGGGCATTACTTAATTTTTTTATGCAGAGAAATGAAGCTGTGCTCAATTTCCCATGAATAATTCTCCCACTTGGATTTTTTCCATTTCCCTCCCATTTCATGTTCGCTACACAAAGTGCCTCGCAGCTGCCATTGGATTATATCTCCATGAGGTACAGAAGAAAGGACAGTCAGTACTCATAAAGAATTTAAACAAAAGGAAAGCAAGGGGTTGAGGACACCACAGCTCATGGCCATCCCCTCCACAACAATGGGACTCAGCTCAAAGAATAATGGCACACCATCATTACTGGTGTCACTTTCTACTTGTACAGGAGATGTATGAACTCAGCCCTGAGGACACAGCGCAGTTTCTCTTCAGCACTGCCATTTACCCACCCAGCACCTGATCCAGGGATGCTGTATGGAGCAGGCACCTGCCTGGTGAATGCTTCTCAGGCAGGCTTCCAGCCTGTGCCCCAGCTGAATGTGAGGAAATCCAGAGGAATCGAATGCACAGGGATCTGGGCTGCAGTGGTGGCAAGCACATCTCATTAGCACAAAACCTAGGCATTTCAGGGCCAAGGTTTCCAGGGATTGGCTGCAGCAGACCTAGGGCTCCATCCCAGGCTAAGAAGAGATGCGAACTATTCCACTGGGATCCTTTGCACAGCTACAACACTTCATCTGCTCCCATTATATGTTCCTTATTCACAAGCTTTCATCAACAGTTGGGGGCTGCGTGGGCTTGAGCACAGTCTAACAACTTTGAAGTCTGCTGAAATCCCTCTGTAGGTTTGTACCACCTCCACCACGAGGCGGCATCTTTTCTTTATTTCTCAATATGGGCATAGGCTGAAAAGACAGGCACTTTCTTCATGATGTTACTCTTACTGTTAAAAAATCTGATGGCTAAGCAGTTCTGGATAGCAGTTCAGCTACTACAAGGCCATGACTCACCTTCCTGATCTACAGCATCAATAAGCTTTCCTAGTACTTTCAGTTGAGCCTTAAGTATATTCACAGATGTTGTGAAAAAAAGGTTTTTAAAACTCTTGGCTCTTTTACACCAAACAAAGACACTGACAACAAATCTACTAAAGGAAAAAAGGTTATGCAAGATCACCTACAAATTCACCTCCTCAGGGACTTCTGCACGCAAGATTTCCATTAAGGTTCTCTTTATGACTAACAGTCACTTATGAAACTAGTCTTTCATTCCATAATTTCCCAGAACCTTTTTAAGTCTCAACTGGAAGACGTGCTTCAGCTCTGTCAAGCACAAGGTATACTGGGGGTTGCTGTTCTTGTTTTCAATTACATTAGCCTGCATAGATAACAATTAACATGCAGCAATATCCTGCAGTGGATACCATCAGGCAATCATCTGCATGTGAGTTAATGAGATTTGATACATCTCAGGCTTACAACTAATGCTAATTGCTTGATCTGCAGCAAAAAAAGGGGGGCTCTGTACAGCCATACTGCAGTCTTGATACCTGTGGGTTTATGCTAGCCAACAGAAGGCATTTCTTGGTTTTGTCCATTTTAAAACCTTTTCTTCCCACTCTTTTTACAAGATAAGACAAGGATAAAGCCAGCTTTTCAAACATTCCTTCAGTGACTCCTGAATCAGGGAGCAGTGAAGATCCTCCACACTTTCTTAATCAGAGGAATCATTATTTTACCTGAAGGATCTGGTCCTTCAAAATATATTGCTTAGTCAAAAACAGCCGTAACAATTAACAGCCAAAAATAAAAACTGTGATGTATTTCCTTTATTAAGTACCCTGTGCAACACGGACAATTCCAGCATTTGTGTAACTAATAAAGCATCTACATTTTTCAGTGAATACACAATAATTACTAGAGAATACGTTGATGAACAGTGAATGGTTCTTACGTGATTCTGGCTCATGAGGTTATACATTGCATTAACCTCAAAAAATGAAATTTCCCCTAAGTAATTTAATTGCTTGTCTCTAGAATCAATTTTCTACATGCTTAAAAGCCAAACTTACTGCGCCATTTACATATACATTCAGGATTCTGAGTTAAATCTATAATTCATATTGATGTGTATTGAAAGAGTAACATACACCTTTCTTTCCTTTAAGATCTTAGTAATTATTATTTTCCTCAGGGAATTACTCTTCAATGCAACAAAAGCAACTGAAGCAGCCTAGATGAGAAACTTCTTTTTAAGACCTGAATACTCCAGGTCCTATGTGCACTTGGTCATAAAAATGGCAAGCTGTTGTAAAGCTGGGTTTACAGTAAAAATGAGTTTATGATAGAAAAGTTGCAGGCCTTACAACTGAAAAATAACCTTGAGCGTAACAGAGCTCATGCAGTGCTGGCTCAGTGCTACAGCAACCTAGAAGTTTAGGAGGTACGTGCTTAGCAGTTCCTACTGCAGTGAACTGATCTAATACACTCACTCTTTACCCACCCTTTTATTAAGTTACGTCATTAACATGCTTCTCTCAGTCCCTGCCACCTGCTATGACTCTACATGACAGGAGTCATTAGAACCTCCAGCTTTCCTTATCAAAATTTATGATAGCCAACACAGCAGATGGAAAATTTGACAGGGAGTATAATTTAGACTGACTAATATCAGACTAATCATCATGAGCACTATCATAATGATAGCATTATTCATGAACGTATTTATTTTAAACTTGGAAAATGAAGATATTTGGTGCACTGGAGTGCTGCAAAAATCAAAGGAAGGGCAAGGAAGCTTTCTGTTGCTCAACATGGGGGGAGCAGGTTAAGGTATTTTTCACATACTTGACACATGCGCAGGACTCTCTGCCTCTGTCACCAGATTCCCTTTTTCTCCTAAATTTTGCTCTGAATTCTGATAGTTGGGTTGATCTACTTCCCACAGAGTTTGGGATTCTTGAGGCATATTTTCAGTGATGCTAGGTGCAACAAGGAACGGCTGCACCTTCACTGCTGCCCTATGGAGACTTCTCATGCAAGTCCTCTTCATGCATGCTCAAATTAGAGTGAAATATCCATAAACCATTTTCTAAGGTTCACAAGCAAGGCATGGATAAAGGCTTGACTACAGGAGTGTAAATAGCATACAGGTAATAAAAATACCACATGATTAATTCTTCATACCATGATTAATTCTTCTCTGTCTTTCTACATCTGTAATTTGCAAGATGACAAGGCTTACGTGCTTAGGTACCTACCTCAGAAACTTGGGGAAAATGGATTTACAAATGATTGCAGAGTTCTTTAAACTAAAAAGTCCTACATGCAGCAAGTGGTTACCTACGACAGGAAACCACACTTCTCCTTCCTAAAATGAACCAGAACGTAACACTGTCCACCACCACAACCTCACAGTGCCTCACTATGAGGAGTGCTCCACTCAAAAAAGCTCAGCTAAGAAACAAATTCCTGTTAATACTATCAGTACAACTTGCTGAAATTCAGTGCAACATGGCATATTGCTGGCTCACTAGCACCTACAACAGCAGAGAGAGAGACCAAATGAGTGGATATGAGAGAGAGAGGGAGAGATCTACGTTGCTATCTGGAAACATGCTCACTCTACATCCATATAGGACGCCTGCCACAACCAGACCGTTGCTTGGACCTTGCTAACCCAACAGACCACAACATCCTCCAACTGTGAGCAACTCAAAGCTCACCACTTGCCCTCAAAGCTCAACGGTCTAAAAATAAGAACACCAGCACATTGGGGAGCAAGTTCCAGCACACCTCTCGAGCCATCTGCTTCCCAGCCTGGCATTTCTAACTGCTGCTTTTTTAACAACCTTTTGCCTCATTCGCAGTCTGCTTCAGAACCCAAAGATTTTTTGGTTTTGCACAAGTTCCTTTGTAATACACCAGAGACAGAATCTTTCATACAGAAGACAGGTTGCAAAAAGAAGCTCATGAATGACTCACTAACTCTACTGTACATACCGTGACAGTATGCACATCAGACCCACGTGCTGAAAGCATAACATAAACTGAAGGGCTTCTGCTTTTCTGCAACTTTCTCTAGTCTAGAAGGAAAAAGCCAGGCTAAAAACATTCAGATGTGGCAAACTACTTATTAACGAGCAAAACTTACTCATCACAAATGAGACAACACATACCTTAACACCATAGAACATATTCTCCTAAAACAAAAAGTAACTTGGATGTGTGGAACTCCAAAACCAGAGCAAAATAAAAGGTTATCTTAGACAACAGCGTAAGTACTGCAACACAGGAACAGTTTTAATTTAAAAGGACACTGCCAAATATGATTCAGTGCGTTTTAATTGGTTTTGTTCCCATCTTCCTCTAAGTGGCAGAGCTCCCACAGAGATGTGAGATAAAACAAAATGGTAACTACCCCCACTTCCTTTTTTTCCCCTCTCTCCTTTTAGGATCCCTTCATTACAGTAGGACAGCAAATTGTAATTTTCTTTTTTCAAGGAACATAAAGTAGAGTTCATAGATGTGCCAAATTTAAATGTTTTCCCCTAGAAACGTAGCTTTGTTAGTTAAGCTTTTTAAAAAGTTTTTTTTTTCAAGTTTTTTTTTCTTTTTTTTTTTTTTTTTTGCAAGACCTATTTCATTTTATTCTATTCGTGCTACAGTCACCAGCAGGACTCCTTCTGATGGCAGAAATAATCAGCCTTTTCAGAAAACCTGTGCAGCTCCACATTTACCACTGACTTTTCTTTGTCCTCAGTGTCTCAGTTGTACAGCAGTGGTCCAAAGCACATAACCATCAGGTGGCTCTGCTGAATGCTACTTGAAAAAAAGTGTGATTTGGCTTGAGGTATATGAAATAATACGGCTATTTGAGATCATTGAGAGTGTCCATTTAAATCACTGCTCTTTGGTTGGAAAAAGAGAAAGAAGAAGAAAACCTCGACCACACAAACATGAACATTCAAAGAAACAGGATAAGCACTTCTCAGACAACATGCTGGGCTTCCTCTTTCTTCTGCCCGTATCCCTGCAACTCTCAGTGTCTCCTCCTCCTCCAGAAAGCAACCTCAGCACCTGAAGCTTCTCTCAGAGCCTGTCCCTGCCACCTCCAGCTCATGGTGCAAATCCAGCATTCACATTGCAGGGGCAGTGCTGGCTGGCTACCGGGAAAGGTATGGCACTAAAGAGGCAAGGAAAACAACTACTCACATCTTGTGCAAATATTCTCTCCCTCACTCTCTGATACTCCTCTTCTCTCTCTTCAATTGATTTACTTCGTCTGTCATCTCTAAATGGAAGAATTCTGTTTTGCTGAGCAGAAAAAAAACCAGGAGGGTTATATAAGTTGAGCTGTTAAAAACTGCCATTAAGAAACTGTCAGCTGAGAATAATCAATGTTCACTCAAACAAACGAACCATGAAAATGATAGCTTTCACTCCTAGGGCACCCGAGGGCTCCCAGGCAGATGCTGCCCATGGAGCCCAGGGCTGAGAGGAGGCCTCCTGCCCGATGCCTGCAACCCACAGCCCTAAATCCACCTGTTGTCACCCCAAGCCTTTGCTTCTGACCATCTCTCAGCTATCCTAGCGGCCACGAGATGGGAGGGCAGGCAGCACCTATGAGATCAAGGAAGAAAGGAGGGAAACCAGGCAGTAAGACCTAAGTTGTGAGCTCTAAAAGAAGCCCACCAAAAGCTCGCTTACTAAGGAGAAGTCCCAAGCGCTTTGTACAAGAATTTTAACTATTTCCATGACATAAGGAACCCCCTAATTTCATTTTCACTGGGAAAAGCGTGGCCCTTTTTGCCTAGCAATAAACCAGAGTGCAGGAAGCGACTGTGGCCTGGGGAGGGAGGGAAGAGAGGAGGGCGCCCAGCAAGAAGCTCTTCGTTTGTGGTTACATTACGGGCACTGCTCTCCTCCATCCACTCAGCACTCTATGATTGGTCATGCTGTGTTCCTTCAGCTGAACCCCATGTTCACCGCACCCTGAAAATGCCTGAGAGCTGACATCTAAGCCAACTGAGATGCAGCCTAACTGCAAGGCTGCCGGATACGATGTGGAGACAAGGGAAACAAAAAAGAAAGGAAAAATCAGTCCTTTACTGAAAACATGAAGGAGAGTGGCAATGAGAGACTCACTAGAGCAGGTACCTCCAACAAACACAACCTGAGCAAAGAAAACACACACAGTCTTCTTACCTGGGAGAACTTTCTCAAAATAGCAATTTGTATCGGAACCTTTTTTGCTTTTCTTTTTTTTTCTTTTTTTTGTTGTTGTTGTTATTAATATGTTCCACATACACAGCTTGCACGAGACCGGAACAGCACAACACTGAGTAAAGGCAGCACAAAGCCACGTGCTCCCCTGATGCTCCCTACACATCGCTCACCTCCAGCAATGCTGCGTTATGGGATGAGCAACACGGGGACTCTGGTGCTGCGGAGCATGCACAACAAGCAGGTCAGTCACACAGACAGTAACACACGGTGAGGGCAGGGGCGGGGGGGAGGGAGCTAATAGATGGGACTGATTCATTTTTGGTCAAAACTTATTTCAGGATAGTTTAAAAATCAACCTGGCCTCACCATTGCATGTTTGTTTGGGGCTTTTTTGTTTGTTTGTTTGTTTGTTTTCTCCTTTTTGGGCTACACCAGTTTATCATCGGTCCGTACTGAAATCCAGCTCCGAATGGATGGGTACAACTGAAGGAGCAAGCTGTAGGGAGCGGAACAGCTGCCATCGTTAGGCGACACATGGAGAAATGCGACCAGCACGGCCTTCCCACGCAGCCCGAGCCTCGGCGTTCCCCCCGTGGGCATGCAGCACGTCCTGCCAAGCAAACCGCCCATGCAGACCCACACGCTGCCACGGCGCAAGCGGCCGCGCAGGGCTCGGAGCTGCTGCGGGGCAAGGAGCAGCGGGGGGGAGAGGAGAGCAACAACAAAAGAACAACAATAACATCAGTCAGCCCGCCTCCAAAACAAAAGAAAAGAACAGAACAAAATTTCAGCCACTCTCGAGCCGAGAACCAACCTGATTGTCTTCTTTATCAATACTAGAGTTATCTCGCTTCAAGATAAATCGCTTCTGGGATTCTTCACCTTTTTCATCTTTTAAATGTTCAGAAAACCTTTGCTCTGGTCTGCCAGCAAAGTAAAACATAGCAATAAAAAAATCTTTCTTTCGGCTTTAGTTCGATCTTTATTTTCTCAGTGCTCTTTGTTTTCACAGAGGCATTCAGTGCAAAACCAGTCAACATTGGTACTCATCGTGAGATGCGTCCTATAGCAGCCTGGGGCCAGCCCTGCTGCTAACTGTTATTGCCATAAACAGCTTTTGTTGTTGTTATGTAGTGAGGAGCGAGAATTCAGCGAAATATTTCTCTCTCCTCTCTGCGACCGAAGGACAGCAAAACAAATTAACATGCTGCATGTTAATTTGGCTCCTTCAGTAGCAGGGATCTCCAGCAACGCGGCAGCTTTGTGGCACCGAACCACCTTTGCAAATAATGCAAAACTGATCGAAATCTTAAGAGCAAAAGCAAGAGCTTCTTATTCCTAACAAATAAAACCATAACCGGAGGGACTGATGGTATTTTGCTAAACAAGTAATTATCTCATCACCGTTAAGTGAGGAAAATATTCCACAAGAGTCACAGAGTATCAATTAGTTCACTGAACCCATCCAGACATTTATTTTTTAAGAGCCAAACTGTACAAATTAGAAGCTTCACATTTTTAGGTTCCTAAGCCAAGAGGAGCTGTTCCATGTTCCCCACGTTCACACCTTGTACAAAAAGCAAACAGCAAGAAACATCTTGTGTTACTGAGCTGGCCACTGCCATCCCTTGTAGCTGACAACAACTCCAGGATGTGCCAACTCCTGGACCCCAACCCATAATAACATGTTGTGTCCCACTGATTTCAGCAGGGTGACCGACGGTCTGGAGACATGAAGAGCTGGAATTCATATGCTATCAACCACTGATAAATCACAAGCTGGTTTTGAAAAGCTGAAGGAGCACAGACTGCTTCCAGCAGTGGCACCCTGAGGAGATGCTTGTGCCTACTGAACAGACCTCCACAAACCAGGCACAAAACTGCCACCGACAGAAGAAGGCAAAGGTGGAGCTGAGAGAATTCAGTGACTTCATAAGTAACGTCTGAAAGCTCTCTGCAAACTCTGAAATGAAAGTCTCAGCTTTGCTTTATTCCAGTGTGGAAAATTAAATCTTGGGTGAGATCAGCCACCATTTTGTTGTTGTATCACTCAGATTTGTATTTAACTAATTAGCAGCGTATTTCTAATCAAAAGACAGCACATATTCATGCCATAATTACAGTCCACTGCAATTCACCATCAGGTGCGTAGGAAACATTTATAATGAACTGTTGAAAATTTAGAATTAAGATACAGCAGCTCTCCTGCCTCACTTTCTGTATCAATTCCACAAATTCCCACTTTTGGGCACAATTTGCATTTTGATGACAAAGCAACAAAACACAATGGCCAGATTTTCACAGACTTTGAGTGTTACAGCATTCTGCCCATCAGCTGGAGGTGTTGGCACTTGCAGATATTGGGCCCACAATGCAGAAGTCAACAGACTCTGCAGATGCCCTGAGAGTCACGGAATCATTTAGGTTGGGAAAGACCTTTGGGAACACCAAGTCCAACCATCAGCACAGCCAACCAAGTCTCTTCGTTGACCCAAAGGAGCTTGGCTTTTTATAACAGTTCCATGACACCACGGGTTGCTAAAGGCAGAGGTGGTTTGTCTTACCAGAAATGCTACAAAATCCAATTAATGGACTGCTAGGTGGCTTGTTCTGCCTTTGTTCTCATGAATAAGCACTGTATCTATACACTCAGAACAGAGGATGAGCACCTGCAGATACTCTGCTTTGAAATCACCAACTGAAAAATGCTGTTTTTCTCGTTTTGTGGCTTAGAATACAAACTAAACCTCTCTAGATGCACTATCACTGTAAAATTTATAGCTATGAGCGATCTGTTAAGGATCTAACAAACTATGCAGTGCACACAGTAAATATTTCTGACTTTAAAACATAAAGATTTGAAGTTACCAAAAGTTAGTAAAAAAAAAAAAAAAGGTTAAGAACAAAAGCAACTAAACATCTCTGACCACTAACACAGTTGAATAAACAACATGCTTTTAATAGTTGATACATTACTTCTATTTTTAAAAATCCAATTTTCACTTCCTTTAGTGTTTTTAAAATGTTTCCACCTGTCAGAAGACGACTGGAAGGAGAAGCATGAGATCAAGCCACAAGCCAGAACTAATGAGCTGCTGGTGCCAGTTAATAAAATTAATCTACAAGCCCAGTATGTGATTGATCCTCAGCTGTGAAAGGACATTTGTTTGTGCAGAATATGATGGAGCACAGCAAGGCTATGGGAGTCTACTACGTGAGTAGAGACATAGTATTTCACCTGGTGAAATCTGCTGCAGTACTTTATGAATTTGAAGGTGAGCCAACGGATGGAAAATGCGAGAAAAAATATGTGATTTTGTGTAAGATGCAGCATACTGTCAATATATTAATAACATGTATAGTTACTGCAACACTGAGAATTCATCTCATGCAAGCCATAATTGGTAAGAAACCACATTCACTTTTCTCCTATGCTTTTTTAGCACTGATAGTGAAGAGTTTGCACAATGCTCTGTATTGTGTTCATCCATGTAAGGGAGTGAATTTATCAAGCTTATTTGGAGCGTTGATCTAAATTAAGGTCTTAATCCGAAGCATGGGATGCTTTCATTTCCACAAAACAACATCGAATCTGGAACTCACTCACTACTGCCACCTTAACAGACACCTTGAAACCCCAACCACACCTTGGTTTAATTCAAAGTGGTAAAAAATGGGACTGGCATAACCTTTTCAAGAAGACACTGAAGACCCTGAATATTGCAACTGTCTTCCAGACACATAAAGAAAACAAAACAATACCAAAAATAAAAACAACAAAATGCTAAAAAAAAAAAACAAACACAAAAACGCACAACCTACATTATTTATCATTTTGAGAGGCTAATCCCAATAGATACAGTGTACCTGTGTATTTACATGCTAACAGAAGCGAGCAAGAATACAGATTTGCAAATATATGCTTACAAAGATTGCTGCCCACATGCCTGACAGTCCATATTTCATTTAGTTCCCATACCTGGGGATCACCTGAGAATCTCAAATTCCACTGCTCCAAAAGAGCCTAAGGAGGGAATACCAATTCCCTTTAAATAAATGGGATTTTGTGATTTGGGGAGCATACTGAGAAAATCTGAATGCCTTAAAGGCACAGAAACCAACACATAGGAGAGGAAAAAAAAAAACCAACAAAAACCTGCACAGAAGAAAAAAAAAGTTGTTTTTCTTTGATATAACCCTTTTGATCACCCAAATATTTCTCAGTCAACAATACTGGTGTAAGTAAACCATCTGTTCTCCAAAGCACAACTTCACAAAACCACAAATTACATATGAACTCGTTTAGCATTTCCTACAAGTTGTGAGCTATGAGTACCAATTAAATACTTGTCTTTCTGGCAGTGTGTTCCAGAGCAAAAAGCAGTATATTCCTTCTTTCCAGTGAAGTTTTTATACAGTTTGCTACAAAATTACATGACAGTTTTGCCTTTTAAGACAAACCAGTTCTCAGAGTAAAACACTGCTCTATGCATCCTCAAACAGATGAACATTTCCTGTTAGCATTTTATAGTCCCTTAAAACACAACTGCAAAACAGACCCTATTTAAGCAAGAATCCAACCAAATAGATTTTTCTGGACAACAAATTTTCCCTACAACTAAGCTTGCATTTTGGAAAGAGGAAAGCTGGTATAATTAGGTAAACTTTTCTGTGTGTCAAAGTTTTAAAAACAAGTTTAGATTTTGATAGCAGCATCCATTATAAGATTTTTCTGTTGTCATTATGGCGATTTTATTGTGAACTAGTTCCATTCTTCCATTCACTTTAGCAGAGTTCCTCTCAGTTTATCTCAGTATGACAGAGAACAGAGTTTGTCCCCCAGGCATACTCCTTAAATGGAATATTTAAGGAGAATTCCCATTATGTGCTCATTTAATGCTTTTCATTCCAAGTCAACCATTGTAAGTAGCAATGTAAAAAAAAACCAAACCAACCCAAAACCACTATCTAAGTGTCCTAAGCAGGTATTCAGCTTTGAATCAAACTACAGACTCTAAAAACATTTTGCAGAGTGGTAACAGCCCATGTATCCTGATGAGTAAGGAAGTCATAGGGCTTTTGGCTGTCTCACGTTTAGAAACATTTTAATGCACTTTCATAAATCTGTATTTATATGGGAGATAAGAAATGAAACAGTGGGGGCAAAATAATCTACACTCATTTAAAGTAAGCTATTTAGCTCTGAACTAACTGGCTAAGACACGGGAAACAGAGATAGCACACACCAAAAGGACAAATGAAAAGAGACAAGCATGAGCTTTGTATGCTGCTCTTCTAAGACGCAGTCACTGCATTAGCAGAGCACAGAGGCAGCGTGGGATTGTCAGGGCTGAATTACACAGCACATAAATCTTTATTACATGGCATACGTTTCTGACAGCACTATGGCACGCAGGCCTGTGCAGCACAAGATGCCTTCAAAAGGAACAACAACTTCCCCACGTGTGGAAAAGGCAGTTTACCAGCACAGTGCCTGATAAAGGAAAAAATCTAGCAAGCCATGTAGTGCACCTCATCTGTAAAAAACCTCCCAGGTTACGAGCGAGGCAGCTGTATAAGGAATGCAGCATAGGAAAGTGAGTTCAAAAGTGGAGATCGCTGTGGTGTGCACAAGCCGGAAGGAAAAAAATCCACCAGCTTTGCATTTGCAATGTGATGTTCACTGAATGTGCTAAATGGGAACAGGGCATTAATACTCATCTCCTGAATGGCAATGCAGAAGGGCAGATAGGTAAAGTAATGGGGCTGAAAAGGGGCAAAGAACCCCCTGGGTACCCGCAGGATCATCATCTGGCAAACACAAGTAAGTGGCTCTGTGTTCTTCCATAAGCACACCATCAGGAGAGCAATGGGATGGTGAGCGCGGGCGAGAAGTGTCTCTGCCGACTGCATAAGGAGAAGT